TAATCAATTCTAGTAAAATCATATCCAGAAATCTTGCTGGCTTTCTTAATGGTTCTGTCAATATTATATATTTCACCCTACAATTCCCAGCCCAGCAGCAAATACAAAATAGTAACACACTTTTAATCATAGAATGGTATAAGATGGATCTTATCATGCACTCGAAAATTCCTTTAATTTCCATTAAAAGAGACATTCTTTGATTTACTTTTTATGCACAAGAGCAGAGTAGGGATGCCAGTCAAGCTTGTTTATCAATTGTTATTCCAAGATACATGTAGTTGTAAGCGCTAATTCCCACCTCCTCGTCTGTAATAAATAGTGGGAATTACTCGTCTTTTTTTCCTCTGAAGTCTACAATTAATTCCTTGGTCTTTTTTACATTTAATTTGTTGCTATAAGACCCTGTAGAGTTGAATCATCCGCAAGTTTTATTAGTTTGATGTTTTGTTATAAAAAGTACAGTCGTTGGAGAAGAGCGTAAACAAGACAGGGGAGATTATACCCGTAGAAAGAAATAGATCGTGTGTTTGAACTCATTGCGCATACTAATTATAGAAGAGGAAGTATACTGCTCTAGTGCTACACCCGACTAAAAGAAAGAAAATGGTAATATGACCTTTTGAGCCATGACAGACAATCTTACTGCGGTTTGCATGATATAAAGCACTGCACATACATGTATATATATATTATATATATAGAAGAGGAAGTAGAATCTATTGCCCTAGTAGTACACCCGCCTTTCCTACAGACTTTGACTTCCTTGACATGTTCCAAAGGAGAGACATGGTCTATACGTTTTCAATCAATGAACGTGCAATGTGTGTCTCACTATTTGTGAAGGATGCTGACAAAATTAGTTACATGTACTTCTCGGATTGATTATGGCACCAATAGAAAATAATCTACAAATTTAACCCTAGCGTCGATTTTTGGCCTATACCTCCATTAATTTGTGGATTGCGGGAATTAACTCATTTTGTCAGCACGCCTCACGTTATACAGGTGTATAATGGATACTTTATTATGGTTACTGTAATAATTATTGTCACTGATCCCATAATCCCCGACGATCGTAGGGGCGATGCATAACAGAAAGCCTCGTCAGATGCCTCCACTTTTCACGGCTTTTAATTTATTACGGTAAAAAAAATAATTTCTAAACCAACAACATGTTTTTGCCAATAAAAGTTCAGTTGTAGTTCATCTCTGAATTTGTAGCAAACCTAAGAAGGAATCTACCTCCCGGGGTGGTGGTACTGATTGAAGTGTCTTTAGGCCATTCCCAAAGAGGGTTTATGCACAGTAGAATTGTAATTATAAATGGGCTGATTCATCAATATCATGCTCATAACCGTGTCTGACCTGCAACAGAGAACTGCTGTTTTTACTTTCCTTATTCTTATCCTTACTATCGTCATTTGACCTCTACTTCTTTTGTACGTTTGTCACCCTCTTGTGACCCGCTATTTCCGGGGTGCCTTCTATATTGATAGTAAGCAGGCTTTGTGCGGTTGAAGCTAGAGAGGTGAGTAGAATAAGCCTGATTCTCTGTAAGGACTTCTCTGTGGACATCCACCCCTTGGCGTTCATGTGACCTTATGCAGTTGAGAGCGCTGTAAAACCTCTATTAAAACTAAAACGAAATCGCGAAGCCGTAAGGCCGTCAGGCTAGGCTTTCTCAGTTCCGCAAAGGCGTCAGGCAAAAATCCCGTCTTACTTAGAAAGGGGCATTTAGGGGGAAGTAGAGGTGTGTGTGTGTGTGAGTGTGTGTGTGTGTGTGTGTGTGTGTGTGTGCGTGTGTGTGTGTCTGTGTGTGTGTGTCAGAGGTCCAGTCGATGAAATCAAGGGTCGCTTGTCGGGTCAGTAAGCAGTGGTCAAACTTCACACCTATCAAGTCCAAGTGCTAATCTCTCTGATAACGGCATGATGCGTCAGTCTTACTTGTCCATTGCCACCACTGGTTGCATTTCATAGGACCATTGTTTGACCTATTAAAAACAGAAATAGCTGAACATCTCCTTTGCTTCCACCCTTAGCCCTACCCATCGATGTAACAAGCACAGTCAACCAATTCCACCCCTCCTGTGCTTTAACATCGATTCGACGAATTCTTGTCTCGGCTGGCCGTACGATCACGGTGGCAGGCAGGCATTGGTCTAACTAATTTCACACCTCCGGCCTCAGGCTACCTAAGAAAGTTTCTCAGCTGGAGCGCCACTGAACCACTTTTAATTAACAGGCACTTTTCAGATTTGCACCCACACCGCCCTGACCATCTGCACCGGTAAGGAGCTCACATGGATGGGGTAATATCAAGGAGCTTAAAACAACTTACTGTAATCTCATTGGGTAATATCAACGCCAAAGCCTATTGCTGTATAAACTGTTTATTATACAGTAGGTGTTGGGTAACATCTAATCTACCTTTAAATAGTTGCACTCCATCTCCCCTTTATTATTATTATTATTATTATTATTATTATTATTATTATTA